GAGGAAAATCTTGCCTTCTCCACAAAGTGTTTTGAAGTAGTTTTGAGAGTTGTTGTTGGAGCGTACACAAGTAAAACTTGAATTAACCCATGCGCTTTAGAACCTCGACGTCGATTTGTAGCTGGACCAATTGCAAATTTTGAACTAAAATAACAATCTACAAATCTTCGTTAGTTCTGCAGGGTAAGATAGTAATTTGTTTCTGCTATTCGCCCTACATGTAAGATAATTATCAAGCAAAAGGAAATGCGCTCTAAGGATTCTTAACAACATCGGCTCTGGAGTGGTTGTTCTCGACTATTTAATTGTTGACGGCTTAGTAATTCATTTTACTTTGTTTTTTTTTATTAGAATTTAAGGATAAAGAACTACTTAGACGGTGCCTGGATAAGCGAGGAAGATTTAGCCAAAGGTATCTTCCCTAAATTTCCGTTGCAAATTTAATAGAATGGACAACGTAACGATCAACTTGTGTTTACGATCACAGTTTCGTCCTCAGAATTAAGTGTAGTAATTGCACAATGTAGGCCACCCCTGTTTGATGTTCCGTTTCCCTTTATCTTGCTTGAAATAAAAACAAAAAAATTGCTCAGGAAGCCATAATCTGGGAAGGCCTGGATGTAGGAGCCAGAAGGCCTGGTTACACATACACTTTCACTTCCAATTTTTTTCGCAACCAACACAAAATTGTTTCATTCCCAGAACTTTTGGAATACACGGATAATCGACATCCTTTTGAGACAATGGAGGAAAGACTGACTGATATCAGGTAATTAGAAAAACCTACAAACTGAGAACTACAAATATCGTCGTGTGTTTGTACTCTAGCACGTTTGTAATTGTGATGTTTATGACGGGCCTGGGGATGAGAAAGCCGAGCTTGCGAGGTTAAGCAAGAGGCCTGGATCAAAGAGCCTTCACTTTGAAGACCTTTATTGTATTTTATTTTAAAATAATTTTCGAAAAAGAGGCAGCAATCACTGCAGAAGCTTTTAATTTAATAAAAACGTACGTGAAAAATTTACGCACTTCTGCCTGACTGAAAAAGATTGCATTCTCATGTAATACAAGTGCAAAGTTGTAACACGGGTGCAAAGGTTTTACAAATAGCGCGCGCACACTTTCAAAATTTGTGTTGCCTTTCTGTGATGTTTTTACATTTACATTATTATCAAGTAATGACATGATTTCTCTTTCAATTTTATGAAATAGGCACACTTGCCTTACGGGCTCGTGCAATTTTGTCGTCCTTGAAAAATTTACTCGTGCTTATTGACACCAAATTGCACTCGAAATCATTTTAACTTTACTTAATAACGTCATTGTTCTTCCTCACTCAGGGAGATTATGAGAAAAGTTGTCAGGAAAGGGAAAGATAAGGAAGCTTAGAATGTTATGGAAGAAGAACTGATTCTTCCAATGTAAGTAAACGTATTTGTTTGCAGAAGGTTGTAACGTTTATATTTTTCCTAAATTTCAACATCTTATTCCTTCAAATTCAAAAAGGGGGAAACTGGAACATATTATTTTTCACTTTTTCATTTCGTGTTGTTATCTCTTGTTTTGTAGTGCTCGTACAGAAAAACCGCCGGGATCAAAAACTAATCCTCAGTGAATGACGAGCCCTGTTCCATGAGATATCAAGTGCTTGTCGATAAAGTAACTAGTTTGTTTTCCATCTGCACCAATTATGAGAGCTGTGACTGGATGAATGGGAGGTATATTGAACATATGCAAATAGTAATCTAAAAAGTAAACACCCAGCCCGATTTAGAAATAGACCTCGAAACCGTTTGACGTTTTCTATTAAGCTTCGTTTTTGACGGTTGATGGTAAGGAGTTCATGCTTTGTGAACCAGCCGCTCAAGCGTTGTATTGGAGGTAACGATCACAGTGCCGTAAATCACAGCTATAGCTTTGTAGGCTTTTTAGCCGCACAATGTGGCAGTACATTGTGACGATCTTATAAAAAACCTACACCTTATATTTGTATCTCATGGAGTAATGAGCTAGGAAAGATAATTATTCTCGTCTTGGTCCTTTTTCCAATTTGTGTCAATTTGTGTAAGTGATAAGAAGTATGAACAGATAATTTTCTGTGACTCAATTCAACGATAAATCGACCCTCCTTTTAGGTAAATGTAATAGTCTTATGTGTTAATGCATTAAAGGAAAATTAGTTGAGACTTTGTGATCAGGTCAGTTTTTCTCACACAGTAATGCCCCAAACCTTAAAAGAAAGAAAGGAAAAGAAAAAATTGAAAGTAAAATAAAGGAAGAAAGAGAGAATGAAAGAACGTACGAACAAATGTGGGTACGAACGCACGAACTAACGAACGAACGCACGAACTAACGAACGAACAAACGAACTAACGAACAAACGCACGAACTAACGAATGAACGTACGATCTAACAAACGAACGCATGAATTAACGAACGAACGCAAGAAAGAAAAAAAGAATGAGACAGAGAAAGAAAAGAGGAGTATAGAAAAAGAATAGTAAGTTTTATATTCTGACAGCACCTAAGGAGACGGTTGAGTCTAGGGAGGGGAGGGTGGACGGGAGATATCTTTTCTTTCTTGCAGAATTATAATAAACAGTTGTCCTTTCCAATATGCCACTATCCACGCGACCCACACGCTGTTCCACTGGGTTGTATCACCACGTCACTCACATGTCAAAATCGAGCGGACTCTCTTGGAAAAAAAACCAAATTTTTAATAGAACCAAGCGTTGTTGTTCAAAACACATTTTCCTATCACAAAATCACCGGAAACTACAGCTGTAACCCATCCTGAAATCAATTTCCATATGCCCCAGTCTCCGACCTAACGTGACAACCGCGGAATTCATTGTTTGTTATTGCGTGCGTGTATTGTTATGCTGAAATTTCAGCTTCACTGGTTGAACGAAGGCAGACAATATATGTCGCAATAAGCCGCTGGACGCCGTATGATACTTTATCTGAGAACACTACAAGAAATTTCTCAGTCGTTTTCGACTCTACATACAAGAAGATCGTTTCTCGATCCGCTAATCACGATATGAAATATTTGTCTTTCTTCGTTTTACTCCTCTCGCTTCAAGACCATTCCAAAGGTAGGTACTTTGACGAAACAAAATTGCTTCAAAGCGCAAAGTAAGCGTAATTTATTATTTACCAAAGATGTCCAGTGAAGCTTCACGCCTGTCTTGGCGAACAATTTCCATATTCTACACCATAAGCTTTATTTGAGTTTCAAAACCACGTTCAACTTTTATCTGAAATCTCAACAATCTGAGCTTTGTTCACAGATCTGGTGGGTTAGGGTGTGAATTTGACAGTAGCACCACGAAGGAATCATAGAATTGAAGTAAAATTATCACTGGATATTGCGACATAGCCATTTTGTTAAAGTTTCCTTTCCTCTTCGCTTCAGCGACTCAATCAATACGAAAAGTGTTCCCTTGGCATTTGGCTTCCTCTCACGCTGTTCAGAGCATCAGCTGGTAAACTGAAAAACAGGAAATCATCTCCAAAACGTGAAAAACCTCAACTTAATTATTGATAATCGTCTGAACCAATTATGTGTCAAAAATTCCTACTTTAAACTGAGAGAAGCAAGAAGAATTTGTAAACAAAAATCCCCCCTGAACCATTGAAATATTGAAAATTACTCTTATATTTCCATACTCGCACTCCCACAATACGATCAAATATTTATTGACAAACAATTAAGTTTTGTGTCTCTGGGACAGAAGTATATTAAATTTCTATCCTATGACCAATTCACTACAGAAAAACGTGTTCAGCTTAATCAGAAAATTAATTAGAAAAACTGAAAGGCTTAATTTGTCACAGGGTTCAAGTAATCACTAACTTGGATTTTTATTGCTCTAAATTTCGAGTCGACAAACGTCAGTTTAACCAGCTTCTGTCAAGAAAACATTTTCAACAGCGTTTCAGTCCCCTTGAGGAATTGAACCTCAGACCTACGGATTCAGTGCTCCCACGCTTCACCACTGAGCCACACAGACTCTTCGGTGAGCGAGGTCTATTACGAAGTTCATATGACGCGCGTCCTGCATACTGCTAGAATCAGCGATGTCGTTAACGTCATGTTTGTAAATAGAACAAGAAAGATGGCGGGAAAAAGGGTTAAGGAACGGGTGTTAGGGCAGGTATTCTCACAACATAGTGAGAATTTTTGTACCAAATAAAACCAGGTAATTTATCGAAGATTAATTTTCGAGGTCGTTCAACCTGGTCATTTTTCGAAGGTCAATTAAATAAAGTAGATTTCGTTTGAAATTAAGAAAATTTCGGAATAAAAAAATTACTTGAGAACAGACGGTCAGCTTTGAGCTCGGTAAAGAAATCGAGAAAGACGTTTTTCTTCTTGTCACGAGCGTGGTATAAAGGAAAAATTCTAAGTCCCCATGAGTTAAAACGTGTTTTAGATAATAACGATTCGTTTGCCTCCTTCCTTCCGCCTGTGTGTGTGTTTTTCACATTCTGGCCGAGTGCCAAGAACGCAAACTACACTCATTTTCTTTTTTCCCTTTGTACAGCCTCTAAAGTCTGCTATGGTAAATACGGATGCTTTTCAAGCCACCCTCCATTTGACAAGTCACTCATTTTACTACCCTCTGATCCTGATTCGATCGGTACGAAGTTTATCCTGCACACCAAAACGAACGCACAAAGTAACCTAGAAATCCTCAATACAGACAACAACACCTCAATCGTTAACTCTACGTTTGACCCTTTGCTAAAAGTGAAGTTTATTGTGCATGGATATACCCAGAATGGAGAGAGTGCCTGGGTAAAAAAGATGGCGTCGGAGCTTTTGAAAAAAGAGAAGATGAACGTGATTGTGGTCGATTGGGGACTAGGGTCTAGTGTCATGAATCTTTACGACATCGCAGCCGGAAACACGCGGCTTGTTGGAGCACAGGTAGCTGATTTAATCGACGTATTGCACCGGAAGTTCAATGTGGCGCTGAACAAGTTTCATATTATTGGACACAGTCTTGGCGCACAAGTAGCAGGTTTTGCCGGAGAAAGACTGGTTAAGAGCGGAAAAGTTATTGGGCGAATTACAGGTAATACGCAAAATTGTTTCTCCTGGCTTGGATTGTTTAGAAGACTCTAAGATTGTAATAGAAGCATTTATTTCTCTGATTCAGGGCTAAATTTTTAAGAAACTAAAAAGTCATGGATAGATTCAAGTCTTTTGAAGATTGCATAGTGATTTGCGCTTAAAAATTGTCAGTTAAGATACATGGACTCCAGGTGGGAAATTTGTAATTTGGTGCCTCAGATGTACTTCTGATTCTCGCAATTCCTGTTTTTTTATTTCCTTTTTTCCAGCGTGAACTAAAACTTTGACCTTATAATTTAGTCGCCTTATTTGTACTCCTATTTCCTCCATCCGATTTGCCCCTGTCAAAATATATCAGCTGCCTAAAGCGAACATCTGGTTAAAAATGACATCTCGCGCTTGGTACCATTTAATAATAATAATAATTAATTATTAATGATATTGCAGGTCTGGATCCTGCGAGACCTGGGTTTGACTTTGATGACGGGCGAATTAGACTGGACCCGACTGACGCAATGTTTGTCGACGTCATTCACAGCGACATAAGGAATGGTGCCATCGATAGCTCTTTAGGACTCCAGCGTCCCTGTGGTCACGTGGATTATTACCCCAACGGTGGGATAGAGCAGCCAGGATGTGCAACTTCTCACGTCGTTGGAGGTGTTTAATCCTCTTTTCGTTTCATCTTTTTTAGTGCCACCATCATTACGTAAATATTTACTCGAACAACATAGACTGTGTTTCGATTGCTTTAGGTGACAACAGTTTAACTAAACTTTGTTCAATCATTGTTTAGGTGCGGTCGATTCCTTATTAGACAGTGGTCAAGTCTCTTTACCATGGATGGTAGCCTGTAATCACATGAAATCAGTGGCCTATTTCACTGCCTCAATCAATAGCGCATGCGCGTTCAAAGCTTTCCCATGTGACAACTGGACGGATTTTCAAGATGGAAAGTGTCTCTCGTGCGATGGAAAATGCTCTGAAATGGGATACAACGCTAAAAAACATCGCGGGAGCAAGCCTGTGCTAGCGTACTTGAAAACAGTAAAGCAGGCACCTTTCTGTGGTAGGACATCGATAAAGGTTGAATATTGTACATCCTTAGAATTTCATGTTTGTCATCTTTTATTGTATGGCTATGTTTTGTCTTACAAAGTTTGGCTTTTGGTCCATTTTGCATGCTTTCTTTTAGTGGAGGGAAAAGTGTTTCCCTAAGGGAGGTTGTCGCCGGAAAAAAAAATAGGTCCGCAATACGAACATGTGTGACTCCTAAATTAATTTTTTTACGCACATTTAATAAATTATGCTAAAATGTGAACAAAAAAAATTGGCAATGGTAAAAAAATCGGGCATGATGTTTATAACTCAATGAGCAATGAATTGAAACAAGAATATATCATCTCTAGATTGAAAGGTATAATGAGTACAGCGGACAATAATATTAAAAATTGGAATAAATTGTTTTCAAAGCTGAATCGATAGAGGTTGTTTTGTTCTTCTTTTCATTAATTTCTTTATTCGTTTTTTATCTTTTTTAGTCAGCGACAATTATTACCGGGTTGTCGTCCACTCAAAAGCTGGGTCTAACCTGTTCTCAATCTCCAGCATTATTAACGACAGAATTTCTGTCAAGCTCATTGGAAGCAAGGGGACTGTGGAAACGGTCCGTCCAAGGTGAGGAGACTAGGATCAAAAACTGACGTTTCAGCCACATTAATGGAACTCACGAGGAGATATCGTCCTCAACTCAACAGGCCAAGAGCAGCAACAATATTTTGTGACAATAGATTGCTTTGTAAAAACAAATATTGATCACAGCTGAAAGAAAAATTGGAAAAATAAATGGCTGCACAGAGACTGTTCACTTTTTTTTTTCGCCAAGAGCCAGTCATCCGATGCATCGACTACTAAAACTCTACATCTATTACATTGTTACTTGGTTCATTTGTTAACCTCCTACTCGCTCTTTTTCAGAAGTTTAAAAAACGGAAAGAATAGTTTCGTGCTTTCATCTGCTCGTGACGTTGGAAAACTGCGATCTGTCCAAGTCCAACTTAATGGATACGGCTCCTTCCTGAAGAAAGTTGTTGTGCACTCCAAGGCGACGAACAAAAGGTGATAGCAAATAAGAACGTCTTGACCAACCTTGAGAGACAAATGTTGGTTACAGCTTTAGAAATTATTTATCAAAGCTTGCTATAATGTGGCCGAAACTCTTAACTGATCTTGTATTCTTGAGAAGTAAGATGCAATCCTTTCCTTGGAAAAACATTGATTCCAATACCCACATGGGATGCGGGGAGGGGGGGAAGGTGGAAGTGGGGAAAGTCCAGAATCCTCGTACCCCCTCCCTGAATCTGTGAGTGAAGATTTCATGACAAAGATTGTAAAACGTCGCTTTCACTTCTCCTGAGAATTTCGCGATTTTGTCTACATACATTGTCTCTAGCAGTACGAGATTTTTCCTCGGCATAATATGAGGATGCAGCATTGAATTCGAAATAGAAGCGTGAATGATTTTCCTTTGGGTTCCCGTTCTCTGATTTCACAAATACGATGGAATCGCGTTGCTGGTTGGCAGCTAGTTGGCAGCTCGCTTATGAATATTAGCTAGAGGGAAGAACTACTAAACATTATATCAGCTTTCGAGAGTACCTTGACTTTTTTTTTTATCAAGAGTTAGGTGTTGTTCAACATTGGTTTTTTTTCCTCTCCTTTCCAGATACACTGCGTGTTTTAGGAAACAACTGGGAGGCTACTTCTCATATCTGATATCTTTTAATTACACCCGAACCTTCGTGGAAGGGAAACACCACCATTGTTGAAAAGGTATAATTGACAGTATTTTTCACGTTCAGAATTCTGTGGATTGTTTAAGGTTGAATCACGCTATTTTCAAATTTGAAATTATTTCTTTCATCTTTTTATTTCCAGGGTAAAGAATGGCTATAAGAAAAAACCAAGCGTGTAACGAGGCTAAACGAAGCCTCAGAACACGAAGATTGTGTAGCTACTGCTATCATCACACCAGCTTTTCAATCTAGCATTTTACAAGTCAGCTTACATCTCTTACTTTAGGCGATTATAGACGCTACAATGTAATCCCTGATATAACCAAACAAGTTTGTTGAGGGAAGAAATAGTTTCAGTAAGAGGGATCGGGAAGGGGTTTTTTAACTTCAATTTTTTTCTAATACATTTAATTTCTTGTTTTCTTGTTTATTTGTTTCTAATATAATACTTAGCTCAAGCAACTTCAAACACGTTTTCGTTTTTCACGTTATTTTCTCAATAAAGAAAATGACTTATATAGTGAAACTAGTTTTCTGCTAACTGGAACATGTAGGAGAGGGTAACATATGGGCGTGACAAAGGGGGGGGGGTCTATATTCATGGACGTTCCCCCTTAGTTTTCAGAAAGTGATAGTAGGTTATGATAAGAATGGACTTGTCATGGTCCTCAAATATCAGCAAGACACAAGTGTGGAACCCTCCCACCACACTCATACCTCCCCTATTGAGAAAAATCTTCTGCTTGAGCACTAGGTAACGGCTACCTCATAGTTGACGCAAATATCAATACCTTAATGTTTCTAAAGAGGTCAACACCAAATCATCACATAGGTTACCTCTCTAAAAGTAATTCAATAACTGTAAAAAGGAAACATATTAATAAAATGTAGTTCATACTTATGCTTGAAATACTATTTCAGTCTCCAAACGAGATCGCTTTTGATCTTAGACCTGCAGAAGTTAGAGGCGATGTTGAGAGAGTTTTGAAAATTACCAAAATATTCAAGATCGAACTTCCTTATCCAAAGAGCTATTTTTTTTAGCGCTAAAGACGATTTTTTTTCTGGTGTTAACTCGCGGGGATTTGTTTTAAATTTTACATTTCTTTCCTATTTCTCAAGACAAATGCGCTAACTAACAAATTCGTTTCCAGGGGCGTTAAAATTCTAACGTTGGACTGTACTCATAAAATGTTGCCCACTTTTTCTTTTTTGTACCAGAAAAGAAAATAGTACTTGGAACTAAGACTAACATTGTTACAAAACATTTGCACCGTGAGCTATAACAAAGTTATCTTCAACAAAAAAAAATATTTAACTTCTTTACAAAAATCCTAGGAAAAATAAAATAATATTCTTAGCTAAATAGACAACAAATAGGATTTGACGATGCCACCTTCATTCCGATTTTTCGGAAACTTTTCGCACAACCTTTCTCATCAGGTCTCTGCGAAAGAAAAAATGGCGGAAAGATAGAACTAAGGGAGTAAACTTGTAAGCTATTCTTAAAAGTCCGTCATGAAGGGCTGACTCATAAACGTTGGAAATAAACGTGTTTCAAAATTCCATTTGACGAAGCGGTTTGTCCAAAGTACAACCAAGAACATTTTTAACACCGCAGATGTTTATCTTATTACCTTTGGTCTTATGGTCGGGCTGATGAAATGGGGTTTATTACATCTCAGAAACTCAAATTTTGAAGACATAATTTTTTAAGCGGAATGTTTCGACGGGCAATGCAGGCATAGAATCGCGCTCAGCTTTAAATTTTCTCTGTAAAAATCCGTGATAACCCATTTGGGAGAGGTTCAAATTTTAAACCAAATCTAACGAAATTCAGGAAATCATTCGCGTCTTTTTCCTGAGAGTACGAATGGAATTCTCCAAGCTGCTGTAAAGAGAAGATGAAATGAATACAACTAAAATGGATTACAAACCTGATAAGAGTCAGTTTTTCCTCCATTGATTCCCAAGGTCGTCTTTCATCACTGTACTCCAGCATCTCTAAACGGAGGTAAAAAACAAACAGAAATTTAAGCAGAACGGTTCCGCTTTCGAAATTTCAATTCCCTCGTCGCAAAATAACAAGTTATACCGAAAGGTCCTTCAATTGTTATGAAGATTTGCTTTCTTTCTATATCAACGCAAAAGCTGCAAACCTTTGGCCAGTTCTGTTTCACTGACTCTGTCGCCCTGCTTGTAGTATTTCACTCTTAAACTCTGAAAGACAAAAAAAAAAAAAACCAAGAATCTCGTTTGTTCCTAGAATCATTTTTTATTGTCGTTGCAGTTACTGTTGTTTCCAAGCACAGCGCCTTGCAGTTTTTAATGTCTTAAGGGCACTGGTCACGGTTTGAGTATAATTATTCAAAAATATAAACTTCATCTTACAAGTTCGTCAAATGCAATCTGTTTTAATCTTCTCCATCATTTGCCATTCTTTCTCTTTGGTGGTTAAATATAGCCTCTTTAGTGTTTTTCTATTTAACCAAAAAAAAATTTTTTTTTCTCTTTTACGCTGAGGTTAATTTTTCGCAGTGCAGTGTCTAAAGATATCGTAGCGCACTATTCCTTTTAACACTTTAACTCCCGTGAGTGACGAAGACAGAATTTCTCCTTACAATATCAATACAATATCAAGCAGGCAGGTGATGAGAATAAAGAAAAATATCAATTAGGGGATTATAAGTTGATCCAATACCAAATTCTCCAAACTAACATCACAAGAAATATATGGCTGACAGTAAGGAGAATTACTAATGAGATCTTGGGAGTTAAAGGGTTAAGTTTAAAAACTTCTACATGAGCACATGTTCAGACAAAGATAATATGAAAAGAACAAAAGCAACTGAAAGCAAATTAAAAATTGATAAAAATTCTGGGGCACTTACAAATCTGGCAAATCTGCTGTGCTCCAGGCGCGTAACAATTCGCATTCGATCGATAGCGTATTGCAGCTTTGCGTTGGTTTTGGCTTCACTGTACGTGTAACTCAACTGTGCGATAAGAACATTGAGCAGAATCACAATCACCATCGCCATGTAGGCCAGGAGAATGAGTATCGCTAACCAGCTGGAATAAAGAAAGAAACAGGGTACACGTTATGCTTCGTGTAACACTAAATAGAGCCTCTTACAAATGGAGGCTGGAAATTGAAAACACATAAATAAAACAAAATAAACCAAAAATAAAAAAAGCAACAATTACAACAACAATATTTTTGTCAATAAGCGTTTTGTCACGCTCCGTGTGATCATACCAACGTGTGACGTAGTCTTTGACCAATCAGAGCGCATGCACCTCTATAGTTACCAGACACACTGCACCCCAACAGAAGTTAGTGTAATGACCAGGAAACAGCACCAAGTTTTCGATCGAATACTTCCAGCGCCTATTGCGTTTGGTTCCTAAGCAACACATTCTAAAGCAAGCAAAGCATTCACCACACTTCCAAAAAAGTCTAACGTTCTGAAAAATGATAGAGCATGTATTAACAAGAAAATATTGCTTACCTGAACTTCGAGTAGTCCTCTTCAGCCGGTTGCTGCTCAACAAGAGCTCGTACGGCCGCCAACATCAACCAGGCGTAATTACTGCGAACGTTGAGGAAAACAATAACTTCAGCTCTAATCTCATGTGCCCGCAAATGACTTTTGTTGAGCTTGTAAACTCTCTCATTTTGTTCCGGTGGAGGCCTTTCAACTCTTCTCGTCAATTTTCGTAAGTCCTCGTAAACTCTTGTCGTTGCAGCTATATTTTCGAACCAATTTTCGTAAGCTCTTAGCAACTCTCGTGATTTCTCATGGATTCTCGTGGACTTCCGCCAATTCTCAACGATTTTCGTAAGCTATCGTAATCCTTCGTTGACCTTTTTATTTTATTAAGGGGTTGGGCTCTTGATTAAAAGGCAGGAGAAAAAAAAACATATATTAAATAATATAGGAAAGAACCTCACGTAAAGAGTTCTTGCGAGCCTGTGGCTTTCAGCGCCATAAACATGGCGCCACAAAATCCGATGAAGACGATCAGAAACACCACACTGAAACGAGTCATGTCACGGTAGATGATCTTGGCAAGAGTCTTGGTATACAGACCAGTAGTTCTAGACGAAAAACAAATATTGATTTAACACAAGCAAAAAAATAGAGCAGCAAAAGCAAGTAAAAGGAAACCTCAAGACCAGCGCTTTTAGTTGAAGGTAGGTGAATGCAACTCGATCCACGGCATGGCATGGGCAGACAATTCAAACAAGAACTTGTAACAAATAAAACACTCACACTCTCTTTTGAACTGAGGTGCAATGAACTGCATGATGGATTTTCGCCAAAAATGAAATCAGTCAGAATAAGACTAACAAAAATGACCATTTTTCAACTTAAGGGGCATTTTAAAAACTAATGATCACATGAAGCTCATGCTTGTCTCTCCATTATCCAATTAAGGTCATCTTGTTGTGAGTTAGACATTGGACTCCACAATCTTTAGAACACCATGTTCTACTCATCAAGAGATAGAATTAAAATGTTTGAACAGATGAAGTTGCAAAAGGTTAGTAAGGCCTTAATCGCAAAGATCCCTTGTAACACTCTACTCCACTCCCCTTCCAGTTTGAGTTTTCTACAGGCGGTCCTATAGTCCCACTATCAACATGAACAAAGGGAAAGGGTAAATATTTCAACAATTGTAACAAGAATTGTAAATTGACAAATTATGAATACCTTGTAACGCACGAAAACTTGAAAAGTCGGAGAAAATTAAACAGATAACCGAGGGCTGCCACACTCCACTGAGATCTGACTTCGGCAAATCGAAGAGGAATCACAAGGAAGGTCAAAATGAGACCCAACCAATCAAAATAATTGTAAGGATCCTTGAAATAAGTTTTCCACTCCCTGAAAATAAACACAGCAGTTAAAACAAGCACACTGTCTGAAGCGCGGGAAAACGCAGTCGCGATTGGTTTCACTCTTGCATCTGATTGGTTAAAAGGACAGCACGAAGATTGTTTGAGAGGATGGCGCCAGTGTCCAAGTCGCAATTGATTTTATTCTTGTATTTGATTGGTTGAGAGGATCAGCCAAAGAGCGCACTAAAGTTCAGTTCAGAAGTTCATAAAATCCTCGATGACAGCTGAAAATGACTCTAAACTGCGAGTTTTCTGGACTCACCGTTCGGCCTGGTTGATCTCTTCGACGAAATAAAACATCAGAAAGATAATAGTGATAACTTCACAGAATGCACGCAGACCGTCCGCACGACCACTGTACTGTTTTGGATCTTCAAGGGTGGAAGCGTAGATGAGGGCGTATGATAACAGCGTTAGAAACGCGATGTAGAAAGACGCTTGAACGCTGAAATGGAAAAAGATAACATTCGTGGGAGTGAAATTTACTGCAGCAAATCTGTAGTGAATGCGTATTTGTGTTACGAGCAAGACGTAATTATTCGAGCTTCTCAGAAAAAAGAACCGGTTTTAGATTTTTCCAAACTATGTTTATAGGCTATTTGTCTTGACCCTGTATATCCGTACATTATTCAGCAAAAGGTAATGAGAATACTCAGACTTATCAGGTTGAAGTTGTCATCTTGATCTAACACCAAATTCTCGTAACTAATTTACAAGGAAATGTGTAACAGCTATATAACGTATTAAAATTCTCAACGGTTCCTCTCGTAACTTAACACCGCGTCACACAATGCATGATGCTTTCATGAATTTTAATTCTGGAAAAAGTCGTTTGCTTTCATCGAGACGTGGGCTGGGACACCTGTGCTTAAACGTGCGAATCCTTCGAGCGAACGGTAATTCAAAATTCTTACCAAAACCACCAATGACCAAACGTATTCCATTTCCTCATAACCAACATTCGCACCACAGGATGTTGAATCGCCTCCTAAAATGAAGAAAAAAAAACAGTGATGTCAACACGGTCTTCATTGTTACTTTGCTAAATATTATATATATTGCTAATATATCCAAACAACGGCCTCAACTCAAAAATATCGAGCAATTTTCCACTGAGTGTCAGAAATAAGGCGGGATTTTGCAAGTTTCCCTTGCTCCGCCCTGTGATTGATCAGGAAAGCGTGCGCCAACTTCTCGACCAATAAGATGCAAAACTGAACTGCATCACAATTTGGTCGCTCGCGTTTTCCCGCGCTTAAATATTTATTCTGTCTCTTTTCTGACTTAAACTCCTTTTGGCTTTCGTTTAAACTTTTTATTTGTTCTGATTTCCTGTTTTGATTGCCTTGCTTTTGTTCTCGCGACGCCCAATCGAAATACACTCTCGATTAAGTTACCGACGATTGTCACACTGCCCACCTATAAGTGTACTATGATTATTTTTTCTGAAAAAATTGCACTTAGTCCGGGTACAGTTCCACTAAAAGTCAAGCCGCATGGAGCATGGAACAAGGGTGAGATGGGAGAACATAAAGATAGCAAGAGTATTTGTATTGGTTTTGTTAAACGAGGTTAAGTAGAGTGGTTTGGCAAGGTTTGAGATGGTAAGAACGGAAGTCAACGAAACTGGCGCATTACTGGTACCATTAGTTTCGCTACTAAATTTGAACAAAATCGTTGTATTTTGCAAGGATTGCTTGTCCATCGCGAATTGTTGCATCTCAGGAATGACAATAATCTAATAAAAGGATTCCAAATGGCAATAACTGGTTAAATTTTTGTTGAAGATCTCACCGCAGTAAGCTACTTTACAGAGCAGATCTATAATTTTTTTCCTGGAATATTTTTACCTCCCAGGAAAACAGTACACTGCTGATAAAAATAGCTTGATAAAACCATAAGCACTAAAACGTCTTAGTCACTAAATATCCTTAGACACAACTTCAAACTGAGGACTGAGGTTCAGAAACACACACAAAAAAAATTATGGTGTTTAAGTTTATCGATTACTATGGTCTTATAAGCGACGCGACAAATATGTAGGTCACCTAACAACTGCTTTGGCTAGTTTGGAATGAAACCGAATATATTTCAACAAAAATAAAGACATTTTCTCCTCATCTCAGCCTTTGTAGCTCAGTGGTTAGAGCACTGGTCTTGTAAACCAGGGGTCGAGAGTTCAAGTCTCTCCGAGGGCTAAAAATTAATTATTTTCTTCCCTTTTTTTTTTTTTCTGAAAGGAACGCATCAGTTCCTTCCCTCTTCCTTTCAGAATATCATTTTGCCAAGTCTCGCTCTTCTTATATGAACAATCTTCCTATTTCTCCTTATAAAATTCATTTTATTTCAGTGCTTTACGAATTATTCCTTGTTTCCTGCATTGCAATTCCTATTCTTAATCGGTTTTTACCATTTCCTGTCACTGAAATATTCCTTCGATGTTATCAAAAAAATGTTGAAACTTTAAGATTGTTTCCAACGAAACATAAGCTTAGACAGAGGCCTTCAAAGTGACTGCTAACTATATTGCTCAACAAACTACGAGCAAGCTGTGCATATGCGTTGGGCAGACAGGTTCCCCTTACATGTAATTGCCTCAATATCCTAGTTTGCACCACTTGCTACAGTGCACATGTAGCTGCAAGTTGAAGAATTGGGAACTAACTCTGGAAAACGGAGTACGTTACCTATATATCCACTCTTATAACCCAGGCTAGGCTATTAGTGAGTGAAAACAAGTCACTTCCATAAAGCGAGAGCCTCCAAAAGGCTGCTCCTCCTTTTTGGGGTTTGGGTTCAAGGCAGGGGAGGAGGGGGGGGGGGGG